GATATATGTAGTATGTATTACGCTGTGTGGCAGATATATATGTTATGTATGGTATATAATAAATAATTTTGTTGTGATTTTATTTTTTTGTGGATAATTTATGTAATTACCTGTTGATTATATGTATTTATTTTTTTTTGTGTTGCATAGGTATATGTATACCTTGTTGCATTATATATATGTATGTGTATGTATTATATATGTATAGCTGTATGTATGAATTGTTTTTTGTGCATATAGTGTGTGTGCTTGTAAATTATATAAAATAATTTGTTATTATTTGAGTTGTTTGTTTTAAGAATGACATTTTATTTTTCAAAATTAATATTCTTTTTTAAAACATTAAAGTGTACGTATGAAAGTATATTGTTATAATTATCAAACTAATCTAATTTTGTCATTATAAAGTATCTACACACCTATTACCTTCAAAAACGGAGTGAGTCATTAAAGACACATGTGGGCCATATTAATGTAGAAATCAAAATAATTCATGAGACCAAGTAAGATCTGGAGCTATTAATTCGTTACCATGAACCAGACCCACGAATTTATGGAGAATTCCGTTTTGATCCGCTCATGAGTTGCCTAGCATGTCTCTCGTCTAGAACAATTAAGGGCAAATTACAGTAGTTTCTTGTTAGTGTGAGCAAAATATCATTTTATATTTCATAATTTTAATCTTGAATAATTTTAAACATTACTCTAATCAATTTATATTGCAAATGTAGGTCTTATGTTACTTTATGGTTAGATTTTGAGGATAACAAAAAAAAAAAAGATCACGTGTGGAATAAAGGAACAAGAAATAAATAAAAATAAATAAAAAACTACAAGGATGCAGGCCATAAAAATAAGATTACAGTCGGTTAGTCTGTAATAATGCTTTTGATATTACTACCTTATTCTCTAATGTTGCACATTAATTTTTTCCATCAAAATGTTACCCGGATAACAAACGTAACAGAGCATTTATGAGATTCCAAATTGTTCAGAACTGAAGAGATTTTATTGGTGGTAATTACCTCAATAATAACAATAGTAAGCGAACAAATTAACTTATAGAGAGAGTTTCATAGATATGAGGGAAAAGAAAAAACAACACAATAAATAATGTACAATATTTTCAATATCACGAATATGTAACATTACATTTAATAATGACATAAAAATCTCTTGATGTATGATTATATACAAAGGAGATATAGGCGTCAATTATAATTGTTATATCGATTCTTTTAAATTTTTAATGATTTATAATATAACATTCATGTTTAAACATGTAATATGAACTACATGATATATGTCCTAGATTAAGTTTTTGAGACCAAATAGGATAAATAAAAATAATGCAATCGAGTTAGTCCCCTTTCCGGTTTCTTGTTACTCAATTATTTCTTTTGGAGCTTGGATGGGATTAGTATATTAATTTTCTATGGAATGGAGTGTACACTGTTTTTGATAGATGGGTGGTGTATACGTAGTTTATATTTAGATAGCTTGTGAGATTTTTGTGGATGTGTACGGATGATGGATAGGGGAGTTGGATTGATTTGCAATAGGATGTCGATGCGAAGTTATGGGATTGGATGAATTCTTTGTTTGCCGTACACCAATAGGTTGTAAGGTCTTGTCGGTTGTCCGTGGTGAGTGTGAGATCGATATATTTTATACGAGGAGGTGTACGGGCATCTTGATTTTGAGATGATTTTGTTAAAATGCAAATGGATTATCATGGGGATTTAGGTATTTACGTGGAAGTCGGGAATAATTAGCTAATAGGATGGGATATATTGATTGGGGGTACAAGGGGGCTATGGCGAAATCACATGCGGTAGGCAAGTGGTTGGGGAGGGTGATGACCCACAGGGGCTGCATGATTGACCCATCTCTCTCTTTGCGGTAGAGAGAGAGAGAGAGAGAGAGAGAGAGCATACCTGAGTTGCTGTCGTCGTCGAAGCACCGCCGCTAGCCCTTCGCCGTTCGTCGTCGCCGCACCACCGCACCACCGCTGGCCTTCGCCGTTCGTCGCCGGTCGCCCGTCGCTGGTTTGGGGATTTTGGGGGAAAATTGAGCGGCAAGATGAGAGGGATTTCTATCGGACACCGCTAGGGATTTTAGGGATTTTGTGCTTCAAATCAATTTTAGGGATTTTGCGATGGAACCGAGCGACAAGATGAGAGGGAAGAGGGGGGAAAATTGTTTTTTACTTTTTGCGACGGTACGGTTTACACCGTCGCAAATTATACAAAACGATTAATAAACGACGCCGTTTTAATAATCATTTTTTGCGACGGAAATTTGCCGTCGCAAATGGCCGAGTATTTGCGACAGCAAACTTTTGCCGTCTCAAATATTTTTTTTTTTCCCGACGGTTCAACACTTGCCGTCGCTAATAGTTCCTGATTTTAATACTCGCCTGTGCAGTTTATTACCGACGGTTAAACGCCGTCGCTAAAACTACTTTTTTGCGACGGTTTATTTTGCCGTAGCAAAATACCATTTTTGGCGACGGGGATCGCGCCGTCGCTAATAATTCCGTCTTTTTTGCCATCTTTTCTTGTAGTGATATTTATATGAAATGTAACGTGACACCAACATAAACTAACAACATTTTCACATTCAATTTAAAAAAATAAAAACTCATTAAATTTGCGAAACGTAACGTGACACGTCACGTTACGTTACGTTACGTTTATGTAGGATCTTATGGAATACATTCTTATCTAAATAGGACTTCAGACTCTGTAAGAAATTACACAGGACTTAGCCTACCATAAGTGTTTGAAAATGACTTATAAATAAGTCTCTCTTATTTTTTTTGGAGATTTTTTTATGAAAAATTTATCCATAAATCCTATGCTGAGGGATGGTAATCCCAAGAATTTTTTTATAAATCAATTAATCCTATTGATTTTGAAATGATGTATTTAATATATTTTTTGACAATTAAATTATTATTATGTCCTTAATTCCATTACGGTTCCTTATTTGTTTTTTTGAGCTACAAAATGTATTATTTTGTAGAATTCAGTCTGGAATTCATATTTTTCATATGCGACATTTAGACAAAAAAAAAAAAAAAAAAAAAAAAAAAAAAAAAAAAAAAAAAAAAAAAAAACATAAGACCAAACACATTTTATATGGAGAAAACAGTTCAACCCCACTCAATGTGGCTTTCTAGAATTCAGAACAAATTAAATCACAATGACTCTTTATGTGTTGTACCGAATACAAGAGATCATAAATAAATTATCAAATTTTTTATTAAATCTCTAACATGAGTATGAAACCCCCACATAGGATTTCTCATATGAGAGGTTTAGTAAAAAATTTAATAAATTATTTGAGATGCCTAGCGTTTTCCTAAGAAAAATGTTATGAAAGGTGTCGGTTTTGTTTGGTAGAGTTTTGGAACTTTTGTTTCACCTTTTAGTTTACACATGATGTTTGTTTATAGTTTTCAAAAATTAATTCTACACTCACTTTTGAAAACTCTATCCAATGCGGGAAAATTTGGGTCAATTGGTCGTCCTTCCGGACGTCCGGCCGATTGACCGGAATAGTACATTTTTTAAATTTTTTTTTTTTTTTTACAATTGCCACCTATTATTTTTTATATTTTAAATAAAAAAAATTTCATAATTTTTAAATTTTTTTTATAAGTTTTAAATAGAATTTTAAGTTACGTATTTGGTTATGAATTATAAATTTTTATATTAAATATCGTATGTCACATCAAAAATGTTCTATTCAATTTAAAACTCATTCACTAAACAAATTTTTCACACTCAAATCATAATTTTAAAACTCATAAATTTAAAATATAATTTTTATTCTCAAATCATATTTAAAAAATTTTACCAAATGCTAGCGGTGTTTTTCCAATCATTCCCTAACCTTAAAGCTGGTGGACCAAACACCCACACGGTACATATAGTGAACATGTGGAACTCCATAATGAACATATTCCACACTTGTACACAATTAAATGCATGCAGTGGACAATCCATACACAGCCGTCCACATTTACAAATTCACAATAAAGTCACATAATTCCCTTGAAAAACCACGCCAAATTTACGTAAGCCACAGTTCGATTACCAAAAATTATGCCCAAACAGCAATATAATGAGTGTATGTGACGGAACATTTTTACATTAATCATGTAACTCCAGCACATTATCCATAATTAATTAATGAAACATACTTTTCAACAAATTTGAAACTCATTGTTATTTTACTTTATTTATGAGACAATTTAGAGTTTAGTTTATATTTAATTTATTATATTTTTTAAATAGACTTTTTTATTTTTTAGGTATATCATTTTTTTTTCTTTAAACATACTTTTCAACAAATTTGAAACTCATTGTTATTTTACTTTATTTATGAGACAATTTAGAGTTTAATTTATATTTAATTTATTATATTTTTTAAATAGACTTTTTTATTTTTTAGGTATATCATTTTTTTTCTTTTAATTTTTTTTTTTAATTTTTATCTTTGAACATTTTTTTATTTTGTATTTTTTATTTTGTGTATCATTTCTCCCTCCTCTCTACCAACAATCTGTTTTTGCTTATACCTATTTTTTGTTGGTTAATATTATTTCACCAGAATTTTTATACTAAAATGATGTGATAGGGTCATTTGTATAACAAAAAAACATGTCAATCACTATAAAGTGATATATCAAAATCCAAACTAAATCATTATTAATAAGCTATTCTGTATTGATTTTATGTTTGTATATCATTATTTTTTTAATTTTTTTTTTATGTTTAAATATTTTTTTAATATCATGATATGTGTTAATTGACAATTGATACAGAGCATTACATCAAAAACACATAATATTGTTTTTCAAAGTTGTAAAAAAAAATATCATTTTTAATCTATTTTTTTTAAAACTATTAAATGTGTTAATTAATTAGTTATCTTTAATATGCACAACTCCTCTTTTTCTTTATGATGTTCTCTCTCTACTCTACCGCGAGTTTATAAAATCATATGTAATTTAAAATTTTGAATCTTTTTATATAGGAAATAAAAAAATAAATTTTGAAATTTTAAATATAACTATATAAAATCATGTCCTTTTAAATATAACTATATTTATAATTAATTTTAATCTATCAATTACCTATCCATATTTGTATTATTATATAAATAAAAATGTTGTACGATAATTGAAGAGTCCTAATCTATTTTTTTTTCTTCAAAATTTAAAATTGTTAAAATGCATATATTGCAACTGTGAAGTACCGACACTTTAAAGCAAATGTCGTATCCATTTTGGACGTACAAATACTTCGAGGACACGTATGGGACACATCACATGACGTGTCCCTTTATTTAATTAATTTATTTTCAGGGACACAGTAGGGACATGTTAAGTTGTCTCTTATCTAATTTTATTTAGTACTTTGTCATGGGGGTTTGTTCCCAATAAAAACGGAGAAACTCAACGAATGTGGTGATCTACTCGGCTCATTTCGCACTGAGCCATGAGCACCAGCGGTTATGTTATCTCTTTTTCTTTGGGTCCCACCTCTAGGAGACCTGCTTCGTTCATCCCTTCTGGGCGATCCACTAGGTCGCTTGGGCGATCGACGCCTATTTAGCCCCTCCGGTTCATTGGTGTTTCTACGCACAGAATTGTTTGGTGCTTGATGACTTATCCCTGCGTCCAAATCCGTTAGCGTTTTCCCCTCCCCTCTGGTGTTGAAAAACAGTCTGCCTAACATACACACACTTTTGAGTTTCACTGGAGGTAACTCTCTCCGCCATGATCTGCGTTTCACTAGTGATGAAGTTTGAGGTCACTCCTTCTACAGTAAGCACACTAAGTGGACTTTCCTTGTTTGAAGCACAAACCGTCACTTTGAAATGGCAATCCTCTTCCAGCAAGTATACTAATTGTGGGGACATAATTTTTTAATAAAAACACGTGGCTGAGGTATCACCAAAGTGCCAGCCAAGGTGCCACGTGTCCTGGTCGTGATGCCGAGATGATCTCGGCGAGGCTGAGGTTATCTGCAAGAATATCAGAATTCGGGATAAGCGGATAAGGGACAAGAGTCCTAAAGTGAGAGAAGACTTCAGTTTGGGTAAAGATAAGACTCTTAGAGAGTTTATCCCAATCTTATTGGGAGTCCAATATTAGCAGTAATCCTAAGTCCACTAGAGCTAGGCTTCTATTGGGACTAGGATTGTATTGGCTATAAAAGGGAGGCACTCCCATGGGTCTAAGGTACGCAATTTATATTCTGAATAGTGAGTTAAGCATTTTTGCTATCTTTGAGAGATAACTGACTTGATTATCGGAGTGCCCTGGGGTGGACGAACCACCACCGGAATCTCTTCTTTCTGTTGCAGGTCGTTCGGGCTTAATCTATTCTGCCAGTGCTCTCCAGCTAAGTACTAATTTGGCAGTGTGGTCAGAAATTGACACACACAATTTGACGCCGTCTGTGGATAAGAAAGGAGAATAGATGGCCAACGACAGACAGAAAGAGAAGGTTGGGGACAACACCCCTACTGAGAGTGGGAAACATATTGACCCTGACGTCGAAGAAGACAACTGCAACGAAGAGACTCGTGATAAGAATCACAGAGGAAAGGACGAAAGCCTGAAGGCCTATGCCAAAAGGTACTATGAGGTATTCAACCGGATACCAAAATGCAACCAAAAAGTGGTGGTCATGTCATTTAAAAACGGCCTAAAAGATAATTGTCTGCTCCAAAAATCATTGGCAAAAACACTGCCAAAAAGTATGGAGGAATTAATGGCCAGAATAGAGAAGTACGCCAAGGCTGAGAAGGATACGCCGGGAACAAAGGCGCTGAAACCAGAGAAGAAAAACGGCTCGCCGAAGCGAGGTCGAGGTGACGGTGACTACAACAAACCAGAAATCGGATTAAGGGCTGCTCAGGCAGTCACAACTGTATTCCGAATTTCGATTTACAAAGTCTTGGAGAAAATCCAAACCCAGCCCTATTTCAGAGCACCAGCAAGGGTACCAGGAGAGTTTATGGGAAGAAGCCTTGGTAAGCATTGTGCTTACCACAATAAAGATGGGCATCTGATTCAGGGGTACAGAGCCTTGAAAGCACACCTAGAAGACCTGGTAAGGCAAGGCCATTTAAGGGACCTTGTAGATGAAACCAGGACAAGGGAAGGGCAGGCAAGACTGCCTCAGGCACCAGCAGCTCCACCTCTCCCAGCACAGCAACCGCAGGTAGGCGGACCTCGAGTAATTAATGTAATTCACTCGAAGGTCAAAAAAAATGAAATACGGGGGGAGACCCAGAAGGCAAAGCACTTGCAGCATGTGTACCAGGTCCGGGAGAAAAGACCTCGGGCCGAGGAGTGCCAAGGACCAGTAGTGTCCTTTACTGAAGCCGACCTTGAGATGGTGCAGTATCCACACAACGATGCCTTGGTAGTATCCCTTCAGGTTGGGGAGTGCCAAATGAAGAGCATCCTAATTGACCAAGGCAGCTCTTGTGACATCATATATGTCAGGTGTTACAAGGAGCTTGACCTTCACCTAGACG